ACAAAGGATAAACTCTTAATGATCTAAGATTTTTTCCAGCTATATTTGGATATATTAATTCTAACAACCTAAATAATCATAAAGTGCATTGTCTTTTAAACAAGTTCAATTTGAATTAAAATCATAAAGATCTTAGATAAAAATAAATAAAATCAAAATTTAACATAGCATTCATTTTCTTAATTTTTAACCTATTTAGAATAATGATTCTTTATTGAAAGAAAAACTATTAATAATAGCTTAATTGATATATTCGTTGATTTCTACAATATTAAATTTTTTTATCTTTCTATTTATGAGACAACAAAAGTATTAAAAAAGTAAAGGGGAATCCTATTCTAATGTTAGAATTAACATATTTAATAAAGAATTCCATTACTAAACAATTAATTTATAGACATAAAAATTTTACCTTTATTTTATATACAATTCTTGGTAGATAATTATATTATTCCTATTGCTGCAGATGAAAGTTATCTAAAATATAAATTTATCGAAATTTTTGCCTCATAGTTAAAGCAATATTTTTGAATATTCTATTTGATTTTTTTGAACAGTAACGCACAAAATGTAAATTGAGAATGAAAAATGTTATTTTTGAAGGAGATTTTTGATACCTGAAAACAATGAAGATGATGAAGAGATTATAAAATTTATTTAGAATGTTCTGAAAAAGATTATAATATCTTGTTTGCTGATAATGAAAATGTACTTTTCTTAAATCTTAACAGAGGAGAAATACTTATCAGCTTTGATGAAGGGGGCTCACTTATTTTGTGTAGTTCTTGGTCTTCTATTAGAAATTCTTGAATTGCCATAAAGTCTTCTATTATATAAATTCGTAGTTTCTTATTGGCACTAATTAAAAATTTGCATCTAATTTCCTTACAATATTTTGTTGAATATTAATAGAAATCCTCCACAGTATAAATAAAAAATTGTCATATGAGACCTACAAATATCTTAACGGTTTAATCCTGGATATTATAGATAAAGAAATAAGTATAGTTATAAAACATTTTAATATGAAATTCATTCTAATACCCTACTTCCTAAACTTGAGGGTGGCATTTACAAAGTGTTAAACAACTATTTATATTTAATTGATTCTAAACTTGCCATATGTTTCCAATTATTTGAGTAATAAATTCTAAAACGCTATTGCCTTCTACTTGAGTCTTGCTTATTCCATTACAATAAAATCATATAAGCACTAAAACTATGATCATCATATTTATATAAATTATTGTTTTTATCCAAACTTTTATATTAAGGAATCGCTATGGCACATTTAAAAAATATTCTTTTTTGGCCATGTAAATAATTAGGACTTCTCCTGAAATTAAGCAATTAATTCAATTAGTGTATCGACTATGATTCCCCTTTTAGGAGAAACCGCATTTTTTAATTTATTAAGAGTAGTGCAATAAATTCAAAATTATTCTAAGCTGATTTCAAATAAAAATATTTATTATGATGCAATTCCAATAGTAAAGCAACATCATTTAGGCTTATTTTCAGTATATATTGAAAATTCAAAAAGCGCATCGACAATCTAATGTAATCCCTTAATTTGATCTACTATAAGGGAAATGGAATGCATAATTAGAAATAAAACTAAGACTATGGTAAACTATATCACTCCTCATATTTTATTCTCTTTAAGTGAGATTCCTTCCTCCTTAGATCATTCTTTTCATAAGATTCTCAAACACCATATGTTAATGATGGTAATTACTATTATACAATGTATGCTTTTTTAAATTAAATTAATACCTTTTGAATAATTATTCTAATTATTAAAAATATATTTATGAGATAAATTACAATCTATCTGATTCTTCAATCAAAATGAGCTTGGAGTTATCAACTGAATTAGGTTTAATAAGTTACCCTACTAGTATTCATCTACCCAACTTGGAGACCAGCAAACAAATTTATTATTCTAACTGATTATATGAATGTGATCCATAATTCGAATTTTTGGTACTTTATTTTTTAGGCTTTTTATTAACTAGGAAAACTTCATTATAATTAAGTTGAAAATTATCCCTTTTATTTAATCTCTTGAATCCCCTCTTCTATTATTATATCCATATCAATGTTAGTTTTAACTTAATTGCTCAATAATATTTCTTTTATAATTATTAATTAATTTATATTTGTGGCTGATGTGATAAATCATTACAATTTTACTAATATAACAAATTATTTTAATTTAAATCCTTTTTTTTTAAATTTTTATCTTCTATGCGTTTCCGATTTACTGTATTATTCTATTCCTTCAAACTAATTTCAGAATCAACTATAAATGGGCCTTCTGTTAATGGCCTTAT